CTCGGAAACTTTATGATGACCGCTGTTCGCGGAATTGCCGTTGCGCAAGATAACAATCGCTTTTTGCGAATATCTCGACGCGAAAGGATTACGCTTGCTTGAGCGTAGAGAGAAGAGAGTTCCCGTCTCTTAAAAATTAAATTAAGGGGTTGTTATAAAAATGGAATGTGTTTAATAAAAAGAGAAAATACACGAGGAATGGCACACCTTAGATATAGGTATTATAAATTTCCATATATACGAAAGGAATACACCTCGGATAAAATTAATTAAGTTTTCAAACAGATTTTCCCTCGATAGCGATGTAGCGCAACTTTGTTTATAGCCGATATAATTGGCCGGAGGAGAAATCGTCAGCGAGAAAATTAATGAGAAAAGCGTGGCTGCAGGCTTACGACATGCCAGATCGTGAGGCAAAGAGTTTTGGGTGATAGTTAAAAACGATGCGGGGAGGGGGGGAGTTCACTTAATGTGTGTGCAATTAAATCGCGGGATTCGAAACTCGCGAGCGGCAACGGCCGGTAACGGGCGAATGAAGATCGGCGCGGGCACGAAATCACCGCGCCGCGCCGCGCCGATCCGTTTCTCGATAACAATCGAACACGAACAGCGGCTCCGGGAGACGTTCGTGCAGCCCGCCGCGTACGTACTAATCGTCGAAACTCCATGCCAGCTGTCTACGGAACTATTAATTTATCTCCGGCAGAGAGAACCGCGCTAATTCGTACTCCGCGAAGCGAATCCTGGATATCTGCGTTCCAGATGCGTGGCATTCACGTGCCCGGCTGAGGCCGATTATTCCGAGCCGTCATCGATCACGAGGATCCTCCACGAAGAGGATCGACGAACGCTCTGTAAATCGCAAGCAATTATACAAAAACGAATTCAGACGCGACGAGATGACGGCCGCATTTTGCGAATTTTTAGAAACATAAAATTTATCAATTATTAGCCTGATCTTTCAATATTGACTCACCGGATTTTCGAAAGGATATAGAAATTCTCAAATTGTTGAATTCTAAATTATTTCAAAACTTTTCTTTATGTAATTTAATATTTTCTTCAGTTCGAATCTTCTTTAGGGTTGATATATTTCTCAACTATGCATGGTGTATGCAATATAAACAAGAGCTCTATTCGTCTATTAAAAAGATTAGAAAATCGCGGAATGGACTAGGAAGTTCGGAAATTGCGATTGGCAGATGGACCAATCGGGGCCTGCAGGAAGGGTTCGTGCGCGCCCGCACGAATCGATCTCTGCGTCCCTGGCAATCGTCGAAACTCCCCATGCCCCAGCTGTTATCCGGAGAAACTATTAATTTATTCTCTGCCGAGTGAGTCCTAAGTACGGTGTAAACGCGCTCGAAGGTATGAGATACGCGGTGTATAAGTGCCGATCGGCCGATTCGATACACCGCGACGTAGAGGCGCACGATGAGGGAAGAGAGGAGGCGTAAGAGAGAGAAAGAGAGCTGGTAAACCGAAGAGGCGCGTTGTGTAGCTTGATTGCAGGGTGCCGCACGGTGTTTGCTTTATAAATCGTGCCTTGAACCACGAGAGAATGAGAGAAGAGTACGGATGCTGTGCGCTCGGAACAAAGTATATCTTCGTTCGAAGGCAAGCGAGGTAAGCGAAGTAAGAGGAACGGTAAAGAGAAAGAAAGAAGAAAAGAGGAAGGGGGGGGAGTACAGGGGGCGAGGGGATTGTGCGATTGATATCGTTCTGAAATTGGGTTATGATTTATCGAATTTTCGGGGCCAGTCCCGAGAGCGGTGGAGAGTGTCCGATTGAATATCGTGCTGCGTAAGACCCCCAGATAAAGGGTATTTTATTATTACAAATCACTGGGTTGCGCGCCACAGGACGATGCGAAGCACAGGAGAGAGTTCGAAGCGAAGCCGCGATCCCGTTGATGCTATAAGGATGGAATTATTGACGATAGTAGATCAGTCTCTCACGAAAACAGGCTTCTGTGATGTTCGTGGTGTGTACGTGAATTCTTGAGTATTCGATCAGTGAGTGTACGTTGACGGCTGCAATTTGTACGAAAAACGAGCGCAGCTTTTTTTTCTTTTTTTGCGCCTCTCTCGGATCATTACGAGATATGATTTCTTCTTTACTGGTGTTTTATAAATCCCCCCGAGCAATTTATTTACGCAAGCCTTTTGATTAGAATTATTGCATTTAATCAGAATGAAATTAGAATTATAATTAACTTTTATTACACAAGCCATAATGATACGTAGTAATAATCAAGCGATAAATAAATGTCAAACGTTTGTAAATTCAATTATAAATCTTTTTCAGGTTGCTTGCACAGTTTTAATAAAATGCACTCGGCTAAGAAATGTACCAAGAAATGTATTAGGTTTGAAAAAGTGGTTATAATAATTACAAATAAACCGTTTACCGTTTTTATACAAATATTATTTGAGTATTTTCTGTGTATGTTTACGTAATTTTTTATTATCATTTATTTTTTATTATTTTAAGATCAAGTAAGAAATTTATTATTCGCTTGCAAGATTTATGATATTTATGAATGCAACATATGCAACAACGTTTTAAACATTTATGAATTTAAGATAAGTGTTTAACATTTATAAGTTTAAGATAAGTTTTTAGCATTTCTTGTTCACACAAAAAAGTATATTTATCGCTAATATTATACGTGATTTACAAATATTATGACATAAACTTTTTATTACAAATAACTGTCACTCTTATTTTTTTTATAAACTTGTTGTTTTATGAACTGTTTGCCTCACTTTAAAAAGAAATCTCCTTTCTATGATTATTTTAGTCTTTTAAAATAAGTCTTATTGCACATATATTTATTATTGTAATGATAAGATTTTCTCGCAGAGTTCCGTATATACCTACTCGCCATTTTCATGTCAATTCGCACATCGAAAACAAAAGCAGGACTTAGAAAAAATCCTGGTTCACAGAGATTCGGGTGGGTAAAATCTTTTTTTTTTTCTCACCATTTAGTTTGATATCGACGCGGCCCTGCAGTTTCCACTCCGATACTTAAGTAATAACCCGATAATGACGGGCTCCGTTCGAACGGATTACTTTTTACTCGCTTATCGCCGCGCGCGCGGAGAGAGAATCAGAACAAACACTCCAACGTGGAAGATGATGATGATAACTACGATGATGATGATGATGATGATCGTGACGATAATGAGCGGTTTTGCGCAACTAGCTCACTAGCGCGCGATAAGTGTGCGTATGTTCATGCGTAGGTAAACATTTATTTTTCACCGACAAACACAAAAATTTCGGCCATAACGGCCAAGAACTTTGTCCTCTAACTATATTTTCTCGATCGAATGATCGAATTGAATGATCGTAAATCTTGATAAAATTTGAAACGCCTGGAATAACAGTTATGGACTGTGGAGTAATAACATTTCAAAACTCAATGACTTTTATTGACGAGAAACATCATGTATTATTAATTGAAATTATATTACTGGTTAAAAACTGGTTAAATATATATATATATATATATATTTATATTTGCGCACTGTTTACTGCGTTGATTAATAGCTCTATTTCCATAACATTGTTTTTTTTATTAATGATGAATAATAATTAAATAATAATTCTATATATGTATAATTTAATTAATATATTATTCTCTTTGATTTTAAATTAAATTACATGCATGTAGAATGTATCAAGCCTTGTGTTGATCTGACATTTTTCCATTATTTTGCATAAATGAATTATTACAAAAAGAAATGACGTGTCGCCGCCTTCGTCATATCGCTAATTAGTTTTTTAACTTGGATCTATAAATGTACAATTTACGTAATATTTTCTATGTATTTGCATAATTTTTTATTATCAGCTATTTTAAGATCAAGTATATAAGATTTATCATCAATCGCTTGTAAGATATTTATGATTCTTATAAATTCTTCTTATAAAAAGTGAATGCAAAGTTTTTAATATTTATAAGTTTAAGATAAGTTTTTAATGTATCTCTTTAACATTTATAAGTTGATAAGTTTTTAACATTTTTTCTCCACATTTATACGTTTAAGATAAGTTTTTAACATTTCTAATTCTTTATACAAAAAAGTATATTTATCGGATTTTTTTATCAACGAAAATACGTAGGTATATGTTAATTTTTTTGCATAAGCATCTAAAATTTTTGAAGTTAAATATGTAATCTAAATAATTTGTGCTTACGTTACTTAACTGTTGCAGCAATTTCACTAAATTTTGATTCTCGTTTACGCTTGATTTAGCCAGAAGCAAGTTGTTTCTGCAGATTGTATTCATCGTGTCCCAGTGTTTATTAAAGACCTGTTTCGTCGTCTCAATGTATAGAGTGTCTTTTTAATCGACTATAGGGCCACTTTGGAACCCTGGTCTCGAAAATCTCTGGTCTCCTGGTTGACTGCCACTGGTCTGCCTGGAGGTACCGCCCCCTTGTTTGAGAAACTAAGAGACGAGACATGCCTGCATGAGTGCCTTCTCATTTCTCTCCTCTCGTTATTCGTCCGTCCTCTCTTTCCGCCGCGTTCGAGATTCTCTCTCTTTCTCATTCTCTCCCACGCTCTCCTCGTTTCTCTCTTCGCCCATCGCCTTGGAGAACGCGGGGTTCATCCGCGCGTTTCTGCATTCCCTCTTCGTCGTCCCCCTTTCACTCGCGCAGCACCGTCTCTCTCGCGCGCACGCAACCCCCCTCGACCACCATCCTCGTCGATGGAAGGTGTGCTGGTTCGCGAGGTGGCCAGTAGTTAGCACTCCATTACACATGGTTACCTATCATCAGAGCACGCCAGCCACACGATTTGCTCCCCCGGACCCCATGGATATTCATGGGGTCGTAAGTAACGCGTTTCGTGGCCGTGCGGATGCGAGAGCGAGGTATACATATATATCGGCGACACGAATATCGGCTAACGATAATCGATCGCAGCAGGTGAAGGTATCAATAGCCCGCGTAGATTGCGATATATCGATGAAATAAAACGAAACGTTTTGTTATGCAGAGAGAAATTGAGACACCAGAGCACTTACGTATTCTGAACCGTAGTGTCTTGTCAATTTTTATAAAGCGATTTCACTGGAACATTGAGCAAGCAGATTTATTGATATTCAAGCTAATATACGATTAGATATGCCTGCGTACCTGTTACGTAATTGCCTACCACACGAGGTGCGCTCATTAGCCTAATTTCTCTTATATATGCAATATTTGCGAGATATGTAGTTCGTTACTTCGACCTCGCGGCTGGAATAATTAAAGCTCATCAAGATGTAACGCCGAGGAGCGCATCGAGTAGGTATTTGCCCAAATTGCCGCATAATTGCTCCGCCGGACACGTTATGGTTATATTATAAATACAGGCTATTAGATATAATGGCTCTCCGCCTAATTAAAAATGATTGCACGGTATCATAGGTGGACGGGGTGGATGGATAAGAATATGAGATCTATTTGAGTTATGATTAAATATTATAAAAATTATATGATCGTGGAAGCGCCGAGAGTCGTTCCCAGACGTCTCAGAGTCGTTTTATCTCGAAAACGCAGCTAATTGCGAGTATAATTAACACCGCCGAGTGACGTAACGTCCCGCACCGCTCTCGACTTATGGATATTCATGAGCAATAAGTGACGTGAAGGATGTTGTTCTTCCAAGTCCTAGTACGCCGCGCTCTTTAACGTAACGCCGCGCACGTAATTGAAGTCCGGTGAGCGATAATTATCCGGGTATTTACATAAACGTGAAAAACTCATTCATATAACGTGTAATGAGCTTTAGAGGAAAAAATTGATGTCAACACTGTGACGCATGAAGAAATGCGTTACCCAATGTACGCGCATAACTTAGGAATCGACAAAACTTTATTTACCGCGATCACACGTGATGTTTTGAAGTTTTCATAAACTTTATATATAAGTCTCTGTAGATGTTACTAAAATACTGAATATTGTGATTTATAAAAATGTCGAGAATATCAGAATAAACGGCATGAGATTATAGCTTCAATAATAATTCATTAAATTACAAAATTTTCACTTTTAATATAATTAGAAGTGTTAGTCGAAAGAAACTTAAGTATTTAAAAGTAATATATTTATATATATAGCATATAATAATATGTAATGTACGTAATATAATATAAATATAATATATACAATATTCAATATATATTAATTACATAAAATTTCTTTTAGCATCAAGAATAATTATTGTGTCTCCAGCGAAGCATATTTCTTCATATTATAATACTATAATTATCAGCTAAATAATCTTCATCTCGCGTATCGAGATGCGTATAATGACGAGTGTTTATCCAGCGAATCTGCGAGCGAGGAGAGGATCGTTCTTCTCACGATCGGGCCGGTCGATCGGCCGCACCTCGGAGGGCTTCCGCCTTCTCTCACGCGCGTAAATCCGCGCCTGCCGCGTTTTTTAAACGGGCGCGCAGAAAAATCGAGTGCGAACACGGCCGATCAATTTGCCCTAAAGAGCCGTTAATTTTCGGTCGATGCACTCCCACTATCTTCGTGCCCGTCGAAAATTATATTCGAGCCGGCGATATACGGTGAGGCGGTGGGGCGGCCCGGGCTCCGCCGAGGGGCCCCACGAGAGAGGAGGTCCACGGCGCACATAATAAGGCCGATCGGGCCTCTTTAATGAGGCATAATGGCCCCGGCAAGTATGCGTAATCGCCGATGATGGCCTCGAACACGATTCCATCGCGTTTTTCCAGCCCCACCGGCTCAGCCTGCACGCCCCTGATGCGTCCCCCATACGACGCGACTGCGATCCCGCACGTTCGTGCGTGAGGTACATTGTATAAAATAATAAGCATCACGGCGACATACATGCCGCATGCATAATAGATTGTTGCCGTTAACGGTTAAGTCAGTCTTTCCGGACTTTTAAGCGCGCATGTATGTAACATATATATGCATATACACGCACGTATTTATTTTTTTTTTAATGTAAAAAAAATATATATATGCATATTTTTAGGTCGTACACATATAATGTGTCGTAAACGCAAAATGACTGATTATCATAATGCGGCACTGCATATACTTAATGCGGCCTCCCGGTGGTTTCTTCGGCGGATCGTCGTAAAATTGCGTTTCGCCATAAACGGTCGGAGACTTAACTCCGTCTTTTCCTTTCATGAACCACCTGTAGTTCGCGCTGCAGCAAAATAGAGTTCTCGCACTGGCGGCGTCTATATCACTCCGCTCAGCCCGTCAATATAATTGCGCCCGCGGTTTGCGATCCAGTTCGGTGGATCTTCCGCGCAGTTTGTCGCGCGGTCACTTAAACTTATTTACTTACCGAGGCCAAACGATGCACAGCCTCATTTTATACCCATCTCCCCCCTCCCCCCTCCCCTTCCCTCATACGAGCTTGCGAATCAATTTAATCGAGCCGTCGGTCGTTCCAAGAAAATCATAGGTGCCGGCCAGTTATTTAAGATACGGGGGACCGCGAATCGTCAGTGGTTCTCAGCTTTGTTGAAATTCCATCTGCGCGTTCGCCTCGATGTAACGTACGAGTTTTTCCGTTGTTTCTCTGAATTCCTCACACGATGACATTGATTCGTCTGTCAATCTGATGATATCTTTATTTAAATTAAACGTTTTCCTCATTACTGAATACGAAAGTATTCTTTTTCTATGTGAAATAACTTTTTCTCGACATTATAAAACAATTTATATTTATAAGAAACTGATGCATGTGAAAAATATTAAATTGTAAATTGGCAAAATGACGAGAAAATAATCGATGCGAGATTCCCACTAATAAAAATAGATTTATTTTATATACAAATTATTTTTTATATCAACTCTATATATTATTCAAAACGTTTACTTCCGTCGATTTATCTTCGAACTAGCCCCGGTATGATTTAAAGTAATCTCGGTCTGTGCCTCGAGCTTGTAAGTAAGAAGCTGGCGATCAAGAGTAGTTTGAGAAACAGCCGATCGCGATCGATCTGTCGTGCCACGATCGTAAAAGACAACGAGAGCGGATCTCGAAAGGTACTCGCGATCGCGCGAGCGCGCGCGTCGTACCCGCGGGTAGAAAACCCCTTCAGTGCCGCGTCCGAGATTTCTTATTAAGGGCGATTAGCCTGAAAGTGGGCAGATCAAGTGGATGCACGTATAGCGGGGCCTCGCCTATATAAGTGGACGGTAATTGAATGTCAGCGTAACCTCGGTACCCCGGGTACCTATAGCTACAGCCTTTATCCCCCGGGACGAAAGTACAGCCGTGCGTTAGCTGGATCGTCCGGTTATATCCGCTATCCCCGCGCAAATCCGCGCGGGGGTCGTGACTTCTTGCAAAAACGTCGTCCGTTATCTGAGCGCCCCTTCGGGTTCGTGGGCGAAAGGGCAAGGCGGTATTTTTTAACGTGCCACGGTGACAGCAGAGTCGAGAGCACAGAGCGAAGTCTATAGTCTTCTGTCTTGCAGCAAACGCAAAAGAGAAGCGCTCCGAGTATTCTTAATTTTTTTATCTTCAATATTAGAACGTATAAATAAAGTTTGAGCTTACCGTTCTTGAAATCTTTTCGATCGAGAGATTTATATTATCTAATTTATAAATTATATAATCATAATTTATAAAGTATCATTATAATTTATATTCTATTTAATCTATATACGTTTAATTGATGCGCTTTTTCTCATCCAAATGTATAAGATTGAAGGCATGGATTGTAGCCCAAACGCGAGCTTAAGAATATTGAAAGTTTTATATTTGCATCCAGACTCTATTTGCTCTTCCTCTTCTCGCTCTCTCGCTCGCTTTTCTCACAACCCGAGAGAAAAGCGAGAGCGATACTTTTGGAGTTTCTATGGGGCGAGTCAACGGTTCCCGACGACGGATTCATTATACCGACATTATAAACTTATTATAATTGCATCAGACGCGATATATACAATATATACATTACAATGTGTAAAGCACGCGGTCCGGGACGTACGGGACGGCGGGGAACCCCCGATAGACGTTTCGGGGATTCACAAAAGCTTCCTCGCTTTTCACGGCCATGTCGGCCGTTACTCGACGAATGGCCTGATTAAGCACGCCATTTTGCCTGTAATGCAATCCTTAAGCGTTCTCGAGAAGAATGCGAAAGAGAGACAGAGAAAGGTTTTATTCGCCCCGCGCCACCATTGTGCGTATGTACATACACGCACCTCCGGTCGATCATGCGGCCGGATTAGTCCCTGCTCCCCTTTCACATGCTCGATTACATTTGATTCTCGCGCGTAACAAAAGGAACGCGCACGTAGAAGTCGCGCTCTGGAAAATTAATATTCCCTACGCGAAACGAACCCTTATCCTGTGACCGATTCTTAAGCCGAGGTCTTCAGGCAGATTTGCATAATTGTCGTCAATCGCGATAACACGCTTCCAGTCGCAACGTTTACGAGCGTGAAAAGTTATATACATTCTCTGTTTTTAGTGATTTTACAATTATTCAAATTCTTAAAAGCTCCGCCGTTGCTTTACTCTAAATTTTCTGGGGTGATTTTTCACTTTTTTGGAGTGAATTTCACTCCAGAAAATTTAGAGAGTACATTTTACGACTTTTGTCCATAGATATTTTCTATTAATTTGAAACTCCAATTTGTCACGTTTTCGTTCATACATCTTCAGTAACAATTGCAGCTATTGACGCTATTGTCGAATGTCCTCACGTGTCCCACGACTGCAGTCTCGAAATGTAATTTCTGAAATCTCTTGCTTTCTCGCTTTCTCGTGCAGGAGTATCGGGAATTTGGACCTTTTCTCGAACGTCTGCTCTGCGTATAACGTGCGCGAACGAAAAATCAAATTTCTCCGTTTGTTCGCGACGCGAGAAAACATGGCGTCAATAAAGGGGTCAATTTCAATCGATCGTGAAATACATCGCATCGGATAGGAAACGAGCGGACAAAGGAAATCCATTGTTGCTCTGGGGCTATCAAACAATGGTATGTACAATGCCGACACAATCGGCAATTGTACAGTAGCCGTTGCTTCTTTTTTCTCTCTCTTTTTTTCTAGATCACACTCCTTTGCCTCTTTCACCGCGACAATGGCGGTCTAACGATTCTTACTAGTTAACGGAAAAGTGTCAACGGATTTGTCGCGCAGCTTTCGCGATTTTTTCATGCAATCCTAGAAATTGACTTTTTTTATAAAAATAGAATCATGTTTTTTTACACTTGTAAGCGGATATTCTCAACGGTTCTCCGTATCGGAAGAAAGAAAAGTGAATTTAACCGAAAGTTACTTAAAAAACTTTCATATAGATTTGTAAAAATGTCTTATAGAACGCTGTTGAGAGAGACACGTTACTTACACGTGCCACAGTTGTGCCTATAAGGGAGGGTTGTAAGAAAATACAATAGACTGCAAGTTCAATCGTGTATGTAGGACGAAAAGTTTCCCTATACTGACATTTTTATTATCGCGAATAGAGAGGAAATATATTGAGATATTATACAACATGACAATAGGTTGTCAATAATCATGCAATCTTGATGACCTATGTGCTACTGTTATTAGGAAATTGACAAATAGGATAATTTTAATAGACATGCTCCAGTGGAAAATATGCCCCATTCTTTATATCTCGAAACTAGAAAAATAAATGGGAATGTCTATACTGTCTATCTGCATACAACCTCGCTCACCTCAATACAATTAATGAAAGGTTAAAATTCGCACGAAACAGTTCTACGTGAAAATAATTGTTTATTATAGTAAAAATATAAGAAACAAAGTTGTAATAATATTGTCTTTATTTATTGATAATTTTTAATTTTTCATATTTTAAAGTTTTGAATTAAATAATATCAATTATTTTGCTTATCCAAAAAGTAGATAAAACAAAATATTTTTGTGTGCATATTTAATCTAACAAAAAATGCATCATTGAAATTATTTATAGACGTGTTTTCTTTTTAAACATGCATTTCAATAATATGATGAATGTGTTTCTTTTTATTTTTATTGTTAATTATGAAACATAAGAAAAATAAACATTAAATAATCAGATTGAATAAAACGAATAAAAAAATCTTACAAAAAATTATGATAAATATATCCTTAAAAATAATAAATATAAATAAAGTTAAGAAATATTTTGAATACTTAGAATATTTAGCGTTAATATTACGATGACATTAAAAACATCTAAATATTTTTTTCATCTCTATGAAATTTAAATCTTTATATTGTTTAATTAATCAATTTTATTTTTTATTTTTTTCTCATTTTTTTTTTACAGAAGCACCTAATAAACACATTATAATGTGATATCTTTTTTAAAGTATTTAAAAAAATACATATTTTAAGAATATTATAAAATTTATTTTTAAAATTTTTTTAACTTTTTGTTTTAATTTTTTTTATTAGGCAAATTAAGATAAAGAGTGTACAATGTGCATAATAAAAAAAATAATTTTAATTTAACTATAGATATAAATTTATTAATGTTTCAATAAAGTGCGGAGCAATTTGCCTAAATTATTCTATCGAACATAGCGCGGCAATAGCATGAAAATGCTAATTTAATCATACAATTTCAAAATCTTAAAAAATCTTTCCTTTCTTTTCTTTGTAACTTTTTCGCTAAAATTCTGTTACCAATAACCGATATATTCTTCGCGAGACACGTATAGCTTCATTTCTGATATAAAGAAGTTATCAGACGAGGCGAGAAAATCTCGCGATCGGAGAGAGGATGATGAGGAGAACGACGAAGAGAAGAAGGAGAATAAAGAACAAGAAGAAAGAGAAGATAAAGTTGAGGGGGCTCGGGGTGGAAATAAGAAAACGACGTTGAAACGGGCGTGCTCGCTGCTCGCATTGGTGCACCGTTGTACACGATGTGTGCACAGTCGCCATGTTGAATATCCCCACTTCTGTTTCACGTGGTGAGGTATCTACACGTGCTGCTGCCACCGTCGCGGCCACACGCGCCGTCCACACGGGCCGGTAGGGCGAGAAATCGAGCCTCATCGGGGCTCCGCCATGGGGGCTGGTTGCTGGTTACACGGTGAGCCGGCCGGAGGAGAGGGGAAACAGAAAAATACGAGGATTTAAGAGTTCGGATGCAATTTCGGATAGCCGACTCACTGCGCAGCCTCCTCTAATTGAAGCGATCCTGACGGTGGTGCGCGCCGTACGGACGGGATATTTATTAGGGCACAGAGTGTCTTCCCCTCTGCGGACTTGAATTACGATCGTAACGTATTCTCCGTGAGAGAAAGGGATATTCTTTGGAACATACGACATTAATCCTATTGTACTCCCCTGTGATAATTGTGGCTTGAAATTCTAGCCGAATGAAAGAGATAATTTTTACAGATTTGAACCAATACAAAATTGGTTGATTGTTACGAACTATAAGAAATTAATTTATTAATTTTATTCTTCTCTCTCTCTCTCTCTTTTAAATGGTATTAAGAATAGACGCTAATACGAATGTCATTTCGTGTTAAGCCGCACAACAATGCGCCGCTAAACTAATATTGATCGACTGAAATTAATATTGATTGAAAGTATAATGATGCAAATCGTCAATCTCGAAGCGCTTACATTTCTACGTGCTGTAAATGTCGCTCGATATCATCTGAACATATGTAACATTAAAAGTTAATCGATTATTCCCGGCGAGATGAGGGCCTCGTGATTGAGTGCTTCCAATCTCACGCGATATGACGTTTACTGAGCGTCTCCGATCCGTCGTCCTTTTGATATGTCGATTGATTCGTTCTAACTCTGATTAGACGTTGCGATTTAGCACGGAATTTATCGTCGCCGATAGGCGTTCGCTCACCCCACGCCCCATCCTTCGTCCGACGGAATATTTCTTCTTATAACATATCGAGTTGATACCGATTCGCCAGCGAACGCAATTTGCACGTACTATTTGCCATACACCTTTAATAACAATATCGAATGTATTTTGTATGCGTCTTAAAGCTATGTCTCTATAGCTCTCTGACAAATCGTTACGTTTTAAAATGAATCAGCTATAAAACGTATTCTTGCCACGTTAATTTAATTACAGATATGACCTTTCTTAAATTTATAATTTTTATTTCTTTCTAGAGAAAATTTAGGGAAAATTGTGAAGTTCGTGAAGATCCCAAAAATATTAAAATGAAAAATAAAACAGGTATCTTACAGCTTATCAAGCATTTAGTAGCACGATATAATTATAAATATGATTTATTAAACATTTATATAATAAAAGGAAACGCGGCCGTATTGTAGAATGTGGTATCGTGTATATGAATGCCAATCAATATAATTGTAACGAGCGCATATTGTCATCCGTTACAATTTTCCATGCGGTTTTGAGATCAACGTTTGGTTTGATTATATAACAACCGATAGGTTAAACGTCGTCCGAAGATGAACGTCAATTATAAAATATTCGCTCGGTTGACAATAGATTTTCACGGCATCGCAAGCGCGCTTTCAACATCGTGGCTGCAGAAGTGTCATTTCGCGCTCGTCGGCTGACGTCTTAATTGCGCAATTAGCGTCGATCAAATTATATGACGGTGTTGGATGTTACAGTTAGATTCTCCATAATTGCGATATTGCGATTAGTCAACAACTCGTATAATATCGAGTTTTTAAAAAATTTTCGAAATGCGCGAATTTTTGCATGTGTCTCACTGCGATCAACTTTTCGTCTGATAAGCATTCAATTTTTGTGTTATACTTCATTGTGCGGTTAATTTCTGCTCATTAATTTCAGGGAGCACAGTTGGTGCATATAATTATTAATAAATTTAAGTTTCGCAAATTGTGAAAGAGATATCTCAGAATTTCGATAAATACCTATTGGAACTTCTATAAATATTCGGATATCCAGATATTCGAATCCGAGATCGGTTTCGAATCAAAAACTCAAAATATTATTTGGTAATCCGGATCTGAATTCGAATTTAAATTTGAATTTAGATGCATATCCAAAAAAAGAGAAAACGCCAATATATTCGATGTAACATATTTAATTTTAATTGTAAAATATTTTTCAAATAATAAAAACTAAATATTTTTTATTTTATATACATATAATTTAATATAATCAATTTATATTATTAAGGGGATTAAGCGGATGCTGGAGTCGTCTACTGTCTTATCGATAAATTGCAACAATTTTTATAAAATTTTTTCATTTATATTACTTTTACAGATCTAAAAATCCTTTTTTCAGAATTAAAGTGATAATAGCGGAATGCAGATAAAACAATTTCATTTATGAAAAACAAAAAAAAATTTCAAAAATTACAGTTTTGTTATCGACTTCTAGCGTCGACTCGTAATAAGATATATTTGCTTGGTAAGAGTTTTAATTCTTTGAACGTATAAAACAAGCTTCATCCGCGTTGGAGCTTACATGAAAGAATAGTATTGTGCTTTTATTAACGCGCGAGTCTAGGTATTTTAATGTAGAAGAAAAAATGTATGAAAGTTATATATGCGACATTGATGTTGTAGTAAATATCACTTATACATATATGTTGCAGTCTTTTTGTATAATCAGTCTTTTTGCATAACGTCTTTGAAAATAACGATCATTCCTCAATTTGACTGACGTACTTGAGACTTTTTGCAAAAATGCTAATTAACATCAGCCTCATTGTTTAACAATACACGTTCTTCAAAAATAAGACATTTACGCGAAGCGAGGTCCACCCCACACCAAGAAATGGTTTGGGTTAGATTAGTTTTTTTTTTTTTAGGTGGAGCCCCCCTGTAAGGGGGCGGAACATACTGTCTCCACGCATGTACTTTACAACGCGAAGCCAGTGATCCACATGAGTTTGCAATGAATGTTTGCAATGAATGACTGATAGGCAAAGTCAACATTGCCCATCCAGCGGTGGCAATGTCAGTCATTCATTGCAAACATTCATTGCAAACCCATGGATTACTAGTTTCGCGTTGTAAAATACATGCGTGGAGGCAGTATGTTTCGCCCCCCCCCCACAGGAGGGCTTCACCTAAAAAAAAACTAACCTAACCCAAACCATTTCTTGGTGTAGGATGGACCTCGCTTCGCGTAAAAAATTGTAAACCCATGTGGGACATCGCTTTGCGTTGTAAGGTGTTAGCGCTAAGGTATGCTTCATTGAATAACCGGGCTAAGTCCGCAATAAAATAATAGTGGCAGGACTTTGCCATCGCTGGATGGGCAGGACTTTGCCCACATAAAACTGGGCAATGTCATTATTTTCAAAGGCGTTATGCAAAAAGGCTGCGACATATATACATATTTCTACATCAATATCGCATACAATCATATGCATAAATCGTCAGTACCTAAAACAGTGATGCCGTGAAGTTCGGCGGTTCTTTCAGTATGGCCTTAAAATTAAATTAAATTATTAAAGAGTAAACTAATAAAATTTAATTTTGATTAAAGAAGAAAACTACTATAATTAGTATAATTACTATAATATATACTATTATAATATATACTTACTATAACTATAATAATTATGAACTTGAATTAAAAGATAAGAAAGCAGAAAAAATGAATATTCAAAATCGTATAAAGAACTACAGTCGTCTTGCATATGCCTCCAAAAGTTATTTAATACTAATATTAAATATCAATAAAATACAAATCAAGTAAATAAAGTGAGCCTAACTCGAAATCCGGATCTAGATCCAACACTTCTATTATTCGAGTAGAAAATTTGAATATTTGGATATTCCAAATTTGAAGCGTCATTTGTAATCCGGATAAGCGGTTATCCGTCAAATCGGATCTGAACAATCAAATCCGATCTTTCGCATTAAAGGGAAATCTGCTTTACAAGACTAAAAAAACGGTAATTTTTAAGAAATTTTTTTCAACTAAAATGAAAGTGAATAATTTCAAAAGTTTAACAGTGATTTACTGTATATTTGAAGCAATAAAAAATTTTTTAATTGATAAATAATGATTTTTTAATAAATAAAGAATTTTGATAACGTCGCGTCGCTACAATTTTTCGATTGTGTACAATCTAGGAGGCGTAATTTTTGTCTAAAACAAAATAACTAAATTTTTTCTTAATTTTTATAAAATTATTTTCTATATGAACAAAACTTTAAAAATTTTAAAAATTGGATAAATTATAACAATTTAAAAAAAACGTTAAAATTTTCATGAAAAAATTTGGACCTTCTTTGCAAAAAAATTGTTTAATTTAATTTTGTTTGTAATATTGTTGGTTCATATAGAAGATAATTTTATAAAAATTAAGAAAAAATTTTGTATTTCAGACGAAAATTACGTCTCTTAGATTGTACACAACTTCAGTGGCGCGACGTTATCAAGATATTCTATTGTTGATTAAAAAACATATTTATTAATGCAAAAATTTTTTTACTGCTAAAATATACAGTAAAACACAGTTAAACTTTTGACATTATTCAATTTCATTTTAGTTGAAAAAAAATTATTAAGTATCTAAACAGTTTTAAACAGGTGTTTTTATCAGTATTAATAAAGTTCAACGTTTAGTTTCTGAGAAATAAGTGAATGTCTCTAAGAGATCTACATATATGTCGACTTTTCTTTACTTGTAAAAAATAAATGTCATTTAATATAAAATTTTTAATGATAATAGCTAGATAATATAAAGTATAATAAAATAAAGATAACATATAAAGTATAAAACACAATTCGACACATTACTCATCGAAGTGTATTCTTGTTTAATCGTTAAAATATATATACCTGCACAGTATTTTTGCTGTTATATGTTTATGACAAAGAAAATTCTATTGTGGTCTACACACGGTCACGATAAAACATGCAAAAGTCCCTAAACATGTTAAAGATTAAAGACATCTTCATCCCGATGACTTTGAATATTGTATTGAAAGTAGTTCCTCAATGAGTCAGCTTTACTAAATAAGAGTTTTGAATCAGAGGTAGGAAAAATGCAACTCCTATGTGACTTAAAAACTTTTCCTCTATATATCTTTCCTTAATCGTTTTCCTTCTTAATCTCCTTTCTCTCATGCGAGGAACATCCATCAGAGCTGGCGCTCGATGTTTTCTCACAGCTGAGAACTGAATTTCAGCAAAACGCGACGCGACGTGTGTCCGTTTTCGATGTTGTCATTTACAGCGTCCTTTCTCGCCGCAGGGACCAATTGTATTGCGAACAGGCTGATGGAGGTATTGAGTTCATTTTTCCATTAATTCAAAACATGTCTTTATTTTTTTTATCTTTTGAAAAAAACGTGCTGAGAGAAGCAGAAAGTACAAATATTTTATGTATAATATCCGCTTTAGACTTACAATTAATTTATCCGGTTTAGGCAGAATTTAGGCTTACAACTTTATATCTTTTTCTGAAAAATTTTTTGGATCTTTTTTCTTGACTTTTCTGTCAGCTTTTTCTCCAACGTATCAACAACAAAAAGGAAAAATAGTAAATCATCACTCCTGCAGTGAAAATGTCCAAGTATAATCTTTCATAATGATAGAATACATTACTTGCAGTCGAGCGTATGGTCTTATGTTCATTGTCAGTTTTCGTTTTAGGTCACTTCGTAAATAATAGCCAGCGGGAAATTTCTCGGTTTAAAATCCCGTCGGAGACATGAAAGTAAAAAAAAAGTGTGAAAAATCAAAAGAATTTGTAACAATGCCGTGACAATCACCTTGAATCAAAGTATCTTTTTATTTGTATAATTACCGTTTTTATATTCTCTGTACTATGTCTTTTCAGTGAAAGATATTTTTTCGTAAAAATTTCGTGAAATTTAAACTTTTAATTTTCACGAAAAATATCTTTCACTGAAAAGACAAACACAGTACAGAGAATAAAAACGGTAATTATACAAATAAAAAGGTACTTTGATTCAAGGTGATTGTCTCGGCATTGTTACAAATTCTTTTGATTTTTCACACTTTTTTCTTTGATTCTTGTGTCTCCGGCGGGATTTTATTGCACTCCAGTAAAGAGAAGAGAACTAGGGAAGAAAGAAGAAGCGAAAGCGAACAATTCACAAACGACCGCGAACAATTCCTCTCTCTCTCTTTCTCTCTCTCGCGGTTTCTCCCGCGGGGCGGAATGAACGGGGTGGAGAAAGAGGCAGGGGGCGGAACGGGCAGGGGAGGGCGGTAGGAGAGAAACGGGGAAGCGCGGGTGGGAGCGAGAGCGAGAGCCAGACGTATTAATTAAACGACTCATTTTCATCGCACGACAAAAACGTTAGTTTAACGCCCATCGCCGACTAATGCGTCGCCCCACTGCAGCTTCTATGTATCTCGCAGGAACTGATAGCCACAATCGTGCATCCAACTGAACTCTCGCTTCGTAGCGAATCAACCAATCGGACGCCAGTGCACGCCTTCGTGTTCGTATCCATGGTGAATACGCCCATTCGTTGTTCCCCACGCGAGGGAATCCCGCTTTGACGGTGCTGGTGTGGTGGGTTGTGCCACCGAACCACGCTCCCCACTACGTGGCACGGCGAGCGACTCGTTTAGCCTGTAATTTGCTCAAACACTAGCAAGCGCTCGTGCCAGGAACATCCGTCAGAGCTGGCGCTCGGTGTTAGCTCTCGTAGCCGAGAGCTGAATTTCACAAAACGCGGCGCGACGTGTGTCCGCTTTCGACGTTGTCAATTTACAGCGTCCTTTCTCGTCAGGTACCAATCGTGTCGCGAGCAGATCGATGGAGAGTGTCGGACGTGACGTACAAGTGAGTGTCGTGAGACTTCAGTCAGTGCGACGGTCGTGATTTCAACGGGATTACATCAGTTAAGTTACGTTGGTGGGTGATTTGCCGACACCGAAACGACGATTTCGCGAGTATTCTATAGTGATGCGTGAACAAGAGGCCGGGACTTAATTGTCCGTTGCCGAGTGACAGCTGAGGTAACCGGTATCGATTTAACTTTGTTTGAAGAAACGGACCTCATTGATGATTGAGGGAATTCAGGAAAAACGATTGATATTCTGTGAAAGAAACAATTGAGCGGTTGAAGGTACTTTGGGAACTGTGCGAATAGATATAGACTTTGAAGGAGTGAATCTTTTGATGGGGTTGGTGTGTTCTCCAGTGATAATTTAACAGTGTTTATTGGAACCGTCTAGAAGTTCTTTTGTTGTTAATTGATACAGATCGTCCGATCGATTCGAGGAAGGTGGCTTCGATAATGCGGCGAACCTAATCTCGACGATTCAACGTTCACAGATCCGTTGGTCCCGTCAAAAGTGGGTTGTCCACCTGGGAAGCGTACGATAATCGTACGATGATGCCGCTCGCGCCGACGCCAATCGTTCCGGTGCCATCTAAGCCGAAGATCGGCTTTAGCATCGATTCGATAGTCGGCGGCGGGCAAGGCCGCGAAGCGGATCGTCTGGACCGGTTGGAGCGAGTCGAAATCGATGGCAGTCCGATGGAAATAGTGGAGGGCTCGTCCTCGCCGCGAGCACGCCGGGTCGCCACGAGATCGCCCGGCGCTCATTCCGAGAGCTCCGATCGGCCTGTCTCTAGGAGTTCCTCTGTTGAGTCATATCCGAACTCGCGACGGACACCGTCGCACGCTACCGTCGGTAGCGGCGGCGGTGGCGGCGGTCACCATCATCTTCACAGTACCAATCATCACGGTCACCCGCATCATCACAATCTGTCGGCGACGACGCATCTAGACTTCGGTCGAACAACCGTTCACAGCCACAGCGGCGGCTCCACTCCCAACAACAGTCCTAGTCCACCGCACAGGATACCACACGGGGACTCACCGGTCAGCTCGCATCCACAGCCACCCCCGGGGGTGGTCAGGCCCAGTCCGAACTACCTCGCGCCACCACCTAGCGCCGCGACGGCCGCGGTAATGGCCGCGGAGCAACTCAAGTCTCTATACGGGCTACCTGGCGGCCACAGTCCTGCGGGACCGCAGACCGGCCAGAATGAATATCACACGCAGCAGCAACTGGCACTAGCTGCCAATTTGGCCGCGGCCCATCAGCACTTCCAGGCGGCGAATATCGCGGTGGCGCTTCAGGCGCATCACGGCTCGTCGCCCCATGGACCGCCACATGGGCCTTATCCGCACGGTGGGACTCCCGGCGGGCCACATCCGCCCCCTCATCCCCATCAGCCGCCTAGAGACAGTTATCCCCTATATCCTTGGTTACTCTCGAGGCATGGTAGAATCTTTCCACACAGATTTCCTGGAGGTATGCCTTTTATGCTTTTATGCTCTTTGTTCAATATAGACATTACTTATTGTTAGATGTGCAAAGTCATCAGGGAACAATTCAGTAATAATTTGTTAGATATGCGAAGTCAGGAAACAGTTCAGCCATAATTTATGTTCTTTTCAAAGGCATTTAATACCTGAGATTTAACGGACATTATGCGGGAATCCGTATAATCCATATATTTTCCGTATATAATTTATCCGATTTGAAAATATCACATAATAAAGTAATATATATTTAATCCAATTTCCTGCGCGAATGATTTTCACTTGTATGTACATGCGTCGACATTAGCGCATATGTTAACTGTCATTCGAGTGAAAATATTTATTTTGTTTTATGTGAAAGTGATCGCTGTTTGTCGACAAATGTTTATATTTGGAAGCTAAGATTATTCAAGAGCCAAACAATTTTTAGACAATTCACTTGACATCGGTTTAGCGATTACATTAATTATGTTAAAATATTAAATTTGCGTCTGAATATTTTGGTGATTTTATAAATGCAATTATATTTACATTGGGTTTATCATGTAATAATTTATCTGCGTGAAAGCCATTTCACAAGTATAGATAAACTACCATTCACATTCCTTATCACAAATCATGCAAGATTGTCGTGTAAGCACCGAAAATAGGTATAACAATATTTGTATAGGGAAAGGCGATTAGTCTCGGAGAGACCGTTTTGAATGTTTCGTGTATTCACATCAATCTAATATGTCAAAGGACATCGACACATATTTTTTTCTCGAACGTTATCGGATTGAGATGTAAATACGGTCAACTAACAAAACCGAGTGAAACGCGATCGATGCGCGGGATCGAGGGATTGCGGTCTCATTTGCAATATTGATAATATAATTAACCCTGTACACACACACATACACACACACATGTGCGTGTTTGCGCATCACTGCGTTACGCAAGTATTTCGTAATTAGGATTTTGTAATGTTGTTGTCCCCCCGCAGTATGGCGTTCCTTATCGCGCGCCACGTCACATCGGGCAAAACAAGTGCCACAGTTTTTCCGCGCATCTCTCTCTCTCTCTCTCTCTCTCTCTCTCTCTCGGCGTTGTAATTAATTTATTTCCCCGCGTTGATATGAACGCCAATCCAATTACGCGCCTATCGCCGTTCGTACTATTAATGGGAAACACAGAAGAAATATCGTCGCACCCGGGAACTTCTCCCTCTCCCGGCTCGACTCCCCGCGGCTCGACCGTCCCGTTCGCGCGACGCTCAAGCACGCATGCACAACTTTATGATGGATGACGTCGCTTATCGGTTACGCCGAGATAACGATTTCTGTCGTCCAATATGTATTATTGAACAATCTGAGGTACTCGAAGAGACGTTTAATGTTTACGGCGCGAAGGGAGGCAGCGCACACCGCGCGCTGGGAGATCAATTTGAGTCTTATTGGAGGTTCGCTATAGAACATCAATAGTAATCGGCGTCATGTCTTCGGCCATTTGACAAATATCTCATTGGTCAATTAGACGACATCTATTGCCGGCAGACAGTAATTTAGCCAATGACTTTCGGTACAAATTTAAGAATTAACTAATTGCTGGGATCCTTATTTTAAAATATGTCTTATTTTAAATCGATTTTATAGATTAGATACGGGTTATTAGTTCTTTATTTTTCGGAGGCATTTATTTTATTTTAAAATCATTTGCAAAATTATGGAACTTTATCCTTGCTCTGAGAAACACGATTGTTAACTAATCGTGTACACACTTGGCGCCGCGGTAGTTTGTCGAATCTTTTTCGAACAACGAGATAGAGTCTGTGTTTCGCAAACTTCTTACAAACTACTTAAGATACACCGGCCGGCAATCAGGCAGCACAGGAGACAGGCCTCGTTTAGTGTTACCTACGTGTGATCGGCCGCTAAGAGGCAGGCAAGCTCGGAAAGAAGATAGAGCGTCCCCGGCAGATAGAGAAGACGATTATCATAAATTTACCGCAATCGGCACGTATACGGGGCGTGCCGCTCGGTTAAGAAATATATCCGCGGAGACGAAACTAGTTTCTTCTGAGAAAAGCTCCCCAACGGATGCCATATTAGTCCTCGTAGGCGTTTCGCACACTTTTTTGTTTTAGAGTTTTTTTTTCTTTTTGAGCAATGAGGTAGGTAAAATGCATAAAGGCGAGAATACAACGATAAAAAATGATCTTAGATTTCCGCGAATTAATTGGAGAAATGATAAAATTATACATAAGCATGATCATTAGTCTAACTTAAGTATTCCGAGTGTGATATGAAATAACAAAAGAATACAAAGAATTTTTCTCTTTTTTTATTTCAAAGAAAGTCTTTGTTTCAAAGACAATAAATTTAATAGGAATAGGAAAAATAAATAGGAAGCAATAAACAGGAAACAATAAATAGGAACAATAAATCTTATTCTCAAGTACATGTATTGTGTACGGACACATAAGACTCTCTCTTTCTCTCTCTCTCTCTCTCTTTCTTTTTCTCAAGGTTCTAAGAGAGACAGAATTTTAAACCTTGTTTAAAGTCAAAATAATGTTGGTGCAATTGAGCTTTAAAGAAATAAATCTTGAAAGAGTTAAAGAGAAAAAAAGAATCATTAAAGTGTCAAAGAGAGAAAAATTTAAAGAATACGGAGAATACGGAAATTATATAGTCCAAAATTTACGGTCTAAGGTTCATTTAATTTAGAATAATGCTTGCATGAAATCTTTAAGAAGAAAAACTGTCTATTTCTCTGTTGTCTATATTATAAATGAGAATTGGATGCTAACAACATGTAATAGATCAGTAAAATTACAAATGATTAACGAGCGGCAAGAATCCTTGAATTACCGGATAGGATTGTATTACGAAAAGAAAGGGTACTAAAGAGATTGTAAACTTGTTGAGAGCGATTTAGTGAAAAGAAACGTAAAATGGTGAAGGGCTCCGAATCAGGTAACTAGTATTATCGCAATTTTGCTAAAAGTAATTCTTAATTAATAGTGCCAAAGAAATCAAGTGCTAAGCGATTAAGAGTTCACCGTTAGAAAAACGGATTTAAAAACAAAGAAGAGGGAGGGGGAGAGAGGAGAAAGAGAGAGAGAGAGAGAGAATACTACACATTTTGCAAACGATAAATATTATTCGTGCTATTTTGATTCAATATAACCAATATAATAATTTTGTTTTTTATATATATTTATATAATATATACTTATATACTTATTAGTATATATACTTAAATTGAATTAGAAGAATAAATGTTGCGCAAAAATCTTAGTTTTTAATTTCTTTTCTTAAAAACTCTCATTTGGATTCCACGGAGAGTCTGCGCTTTTGCAAGTTCTTTAATCGCGCGCGACGTTCTTTCAGATATCAATTAAGATATTTCCCCGTCGATTTTTTCGGTTTGTAGCGATTATTCGTGCTGAAGCGTTGACCCGATAACGCATACTCAAGGCGGAGTGTTACGCGCGCGAGTATTGCCGTAATAAATATCTTCTATACATATATTAGAAATTACGCGCGCGAGGTCTCTCGCGCGGCGATCGGGTTTCGATGCAACAAGAGCACCGGGACGCGCATCGCGATGTATCCGATCGGAGGAGCTTCAGTCACGTAGAAGGGGCAGCCGCTTATCTAGCAATTAGTCGGTATCGGTAATTACCGTTGAGAGAAGAGCGAGAGATTCTCCCTCTCCCCCCCCCCCTCCTTTCTTATTTTGTGTAGCACACGCGTTACGTGGTACGTCCGAATACACGAGCGGTATGAATACACGCTCGATCGTGCGCGCGCGCGCGCGCAAACGCGCAACCGTCTCGATAAGCGAGTCTTTGATTATTTTCTCTAGCCTATTTCGTCTTAGTCCTGCCTGCCAACGTCTTTAAAGGTTCTTAATGGCGCAAAAGAGAACTTCCTCCTCGTTGAATCTCCTTGCCCGACCATTCCACGTTGACGGACATTACCGCAACGAATAATTGCCTCCGGCGCTTTTTTCGCCGTTCCGCTGCTTCTGCACAGATTTTTAAAACCGACACCGATATCGCGAATTAAATCTCGGCTGTTGGAAAATTACTTTTATTCCGCGCATTAAATATGAAAATAAAATCACGAATCGCGCTTAATAAGAGATTTTTTCGTTACGCCGGCGTGAAACGTTTAACACACATTCATTGCCAATCGTATATTTTATTTCACTTTTTTCCATTGACGTCAGATAGAGAATTTTATATTAAAAAAACAATAAAATACTCAATTTGTAATATTGAGTTGCATAAAAATACGGTGGTTGCACAAAAACATGTTATATTTATTTGATGGTGACTGGTCTTCGATAAGGCATAAACAAAAAAATGAATATTGGTCACTAGTGAGTAACACGGCAGTGAATGTATTAATAAAGCGCAATCATAATTTATCGTAAACGATTATTTCAAGATTAAACTTTTTCGTATCTCAGGAGTAAAACTGCGATTCGCGATATTTGAGGGAGCAAATCGTAAATATTAAATTATCATTCTTTTAAATCTCTTTGGAGTGATCCGAAGTATCTTATATACCAAGAAAAGATTAAACAACGTTTCTCATAAACGCTCAAAGAGCAACAATTTTTTTTTATCCGACGTAACATGTAATCTCAGTTAATTCGCAGTTAATTCGCAGTTCATTTTCAATCTCCGTTTACCCAATCAATCGCTAAATACGGTAGAGAACATTCCGCTATCGACGCCGGCAGGTATTACCGTTGCAATTACATCTGAGATTTTCCAGATAACAGAGGCAGGCCTCTCATCCTTGAGAGAAGTCTAATCGCCGGCGATGCGAAAACAATGCTATGTTTAACGGCGTGTTTAGAGTCGACAACGCGATTGCAAATCCCTCTCGATAGCGCTCGGCGTTAAACATCGGTTGGCAAAAAATTTTGCCAACCGATTGCGGGATTCGCATCGCGCACGTGTATATGTACCTAATGTCGTATCCTAACGGC